AGGCACGGTGTCTGTGCCATCCAGTGCCATTCCTCACACTAGTCCCCGACGCCCCCGCCCTCCCCCTCCCCCCACCCCCAGAGGCTGCCATGCACAGCCCCCTTCAAAGGTGAAAAGAACTGAAGCCCAGAGACTAGATAACCAGCCCTGCCAAGGCTGGGATTTGACCCAAATTGGCTGTGATATTTTACTGTCTCCGTCTGTCTTCTCCGGGACCTGGAAACCTGAAATGGGCTAATTGGAAACTAATTGTCAGGGGGAGGGCGAGGGGGAGTAGGAGGGAGGCCGGGTGTGCAACAGTTTTGACCGAGGTAGCCAACCACACGCTCGGGGTGAGTCATTAAAGATTACACTGGAAAGAGTGTTTTCCAGATGGCTCCATTTGTTGTGTATAGTTTCGAGATCTTCTGTTCCTTTCGTGAAATAGAATGTAGGAGAGGATTGTCTGGCTCATTGGGAATAAAGCATGTGTATTTTTGGCATGGAGAGCATTGCCCCTTGAGGAAATCAATCAAGTTTGCCGTCGAAATGGGCAAAATGTACAACCACCCAGGAGAGCTGTAAGCACCAGATAGCTTTTTCTTTTTCGAGTTCAAATTAAATTCCACATTCTCGACGCCTCCTTTGAATAACCAGGTTTTGCCTCTGTAATTGCACACACTTCTGGGATGTGTGTGTGTATTATATACAGTAAAAAATTAGTTATAAATTTTCATTGAGGGATCTCGAGAAGTTCTGAGTCCTCCTTGGCTTTGATAGGCAGCTTGTCTTTGGCCATCCACTCCACCTTAGGTCAGGGGTAGACTCAGGAAATGATTCCTCAGAGCTGTTGTGGGCACAAGGCCCTGTTTAATTACATAGAATGAGAATATTTCTTTTGTTCTTTCTTCTATCTCTGTATTTCCCTGCACAACTAGTCTCTTGTCTAGGACTTTCCCCCTGCTAATAATCTGTTAATGTCTCTTCTTGAACTTTTAGGGAAGATTAAGAAGTTGATACTCTGTAAACATTTGAATAAGGTACTAAGAATAGACAGCTTTTACTTGCAAGCCTATGTATGACAGAGAATTTCTTGTTGTTTCCAAGTCGACGCTCCTGTGTCAGAGGTGTACTGAGTGCAGGAAGCAGTGTGTTGAGGGCTGAGGAAGGAGGCCCAGAAGCCTCTGGTCTTAGCACCTGGGGGTGTCAGAGCAGCCTGGGAATGACTGTCTCGTGACCTGGGCTCAGCCACGTGCTGTATACCAGGGACCCAGGAGAGCGGACACATCTAATTGCGTGGAATTGGGGGAATGATGGGAGTGAGCAGGAGGCGCTTCATGAGATGGGAGGAGCATTTGAAACTAGGTTGAAGGATATGAATGGTTTCCGCCCTAGAGCTGTGCAGAAGGTAATGGACTTGAAGGAGGGTCCAGAAGCACAGGTGGCCTTCACTCCTTGGGGGGAATGGCAGGTGAGCCCTTTTATTCAACCAGAACATGGTGTGTGTTTTATATGATGGAAAGGAATTGGGAAAGTTAGGCTGTATCCTTTTTGTGGGGAGGTGACCGCCAGGCTGATATTTCTGTATGGTGTTGTGGTGGTGAGCACATGTTCAGGCCAGGTTTTGGGGTTCAAATCCCCACAGTACCACTGGTCACACCTCCCTTTGTGCGCTGGAGCAAGGTTCTGGGATCTTCCAAGCCTCATTTTCCTCACTTGTTAAATAGAGGGTCGAGAAAATGCTGACCTCCAAGGGCTGGGAATGGCAAGTGACTTGACTATTACAGCCTGTCAAAGCTGATTCTACTGGCCGGAGCGACAGCCTCTACGAGGGGCAGGAGGGATGGCAGAGGAGGACAGGGAGCTGTAGGTGTGACTCTGCATCTCTCCTGTCCCTCCCCCACCCGTCCATCGTCCATCCTCAGCAAAGTTTTTCCTGTTCTGTTCTAAAAGTGCGAAATGGAACTACTTGCAGCTGGAATGGGGACTGTGATAGACTCTGGACCAGCTGCTTGTGTGGTTTCTTACTCCACAGTGACCTCTGCTGGGGTTTAGTTAGATTCTGAGCAAGTGAGTTCTGAGAGGCGGGGTCTGCACCTTCAAGGCAGGACCTGGCTGTTGCTGCCTCACGTGGTTGAAATCGCTGCCTAGATGCCAAGAAGTACCTGGGAGATTTTCTAGGGAATGAAGTGGGATCCCGGAGATGAGGACCCTTCAGGAGACAGTGCTGTCCAGGCGGATTCCCTCGTCCTTGGCTCCAGGCACCTGTGCCTCCATTTCTCTCTTGTTTCTGCACTTGAGGTTCATATTTGTCCCAGGCTGCCATCATCTGTCCAGGAAAATGCGCAGGAAATGACACATCCATGACAGTCCGAGAAATGCCACTCACACTCACAAATGGGGACCCAGAAAGATGGGTCTCTCTTACTTTGCCTCAACCTGTTTTTTTTTTTTTTAGATTTCTTTACTGTATTTTAATTTTTAATCCTACATAGGATCTTTTACTTTTTTAATGTATGGGATTCAAAGTATGAGAGGGGGACCCAAGAAATGGAATTTGTTTATAAAAAATTGTGTACTTATTCTTATGTTTAAACTTGAGTCACTTTCAAGGTACTCTCCATTTGATGTAATACACCTATTGAGAAATTTTTCCACCACTCAGCAGTTTTTGAACTGGAAGATTTTTAAAATATATTTTATTGATTATGTTATTAGGATTGTCCCATTTTCTCCCCTTTATTCCTCTCTCTCCTGCACACTGCCTCCCGCCCTCATTCCCCCCATTTAGTTCATGTCCATGGGTTGTACATATAAGTTCTTTGGCTTCTACATTCCCTATGCTATTGTTAACCTCCCCGTCTGTTTTCTACCCCGTCTGTTACCTACCATTTATACTACTTATTCCCTGTACCTTTTTCCCTCCTCTCTCCCTCCCCCACTGATAATTCTTCATGTGATCTCCATTTTTGTGATTCTGTTGCTCTTCTAGTTGTTTGCTTAGTATTTTTTTTAGGTTTGGTTGTTAATATTGTGAGTTTGTTGTCATTTTACTGTTCATATTTTTAATGTTTTTATTAGATAAGTCCCTTTAACATTTCATATAATAAAGGCTTGGTGATGATGAACTCCTTTAACTTGATCTTATCTGGGAAGCACTTTATCTGCCCTTTTATTATAAATTATAGCTTTGCTGGATAGAGTAATCTTGGATGTAGGTCCTTGCCTTTCATGACTTGGAATACTTCTTTCTAGCCTCTTCTTGCCTGTACGGTTTCTTTTGAGAAATCAGCTGATGGTCTTATGGGAACTCCTTTGTAGGTAACGGTCTCCTTTTCTCTTGCTGCTGTTAAGATTCTCTCCTTATCTTTCATTTTGGGTAATGTTATTATGATGTGTCTTGGTGTGTTCCTCCTTGGGTCCAACTTCTTTGGGACACTCTGAACTTCCTGAACTTCCCGACATTATTTCCTTTGACAGATTGGGGAAGTTCTCCATTATTTTTCAAACAAATTTTCAATTTCTTGGTCTTCCTCTTTCCCTTCTGGCACCCCTATGATTCAGATGTCGTAATGTTTAAAGATGTCCTGGAGGTTCCTAAGCCTCTCCTCATTTTTTTTGAATTCTCATTTCTTCATTCTGTTCTGGTTGACAGTTGATTTCCTCCATCTGCTCCAAACCATTGATTTGAGTCCTGGTTTCCTTCCAGTCACTGTGGTTCCCTATAGATTTTTCTTTATTTCACATAATGCAGCCTTCTTTGCTGCCTGGGTCTTTTTTATGCCGTTGAAGTACCCAGTGAGTTCCTGGAGCATCCTGATAACCATTGTTTTGAATTGTGCATCTAATAGTTTGGCTCTCTCTTCATTGCTTAGTTGTATTTTTCCTGGAGCTTTGATCTGTTCTTTCATTTGGGCCTTTTTTTTTTTGTCTCAGTGTGCCTGTTATGTAGTGAGGGGAGGAGCCTTAAATGTTCACTGGGGTGGGGAACAAACATTGTAGGTGCCTTGTGACACTGTATGTGCGGTGGGGTCCAAGAGGGAAAAGTGCCGCTTCATCCACTCTCTCTGAACTCGAAGATTTTGATGCCTTTTAGTGCTTCTGCCTTATTCTGTTTCACCTCTTTTGCATCAGCAAAACGTTTTTTGTTTGAGGACTTTTTTCATCTGGGGAAATGAAAAGAAGTCCCTCAGGGCGAGATCCTGTGATTAGGGATGGTAGGGCGTGGGAGTCAAGACACTGTGGGTCAGGAACTGGGGAACACTCAGCACGGTGTGGGCAGGTGTGCTCGTAAAACACCCACCATGAAGTGGGGAGACGTGTTGGAAGGGTCCTCAACAAAGATTCATGGAAGCTGAACTCAGAAGTACAGGTTAGCACGAGGTCATTGAATTGCTGTGGTGAGGAAGTTTAGGAAACTGAATTTGTTTGGAAAAGGCTTATGTTTGGGGATGGTTCCTAAAAAATATCTAGATGTGAAATAGAAAAAATATCTTCTCCAGGATGAAGGGTCAGAATAAGTGAGAAGAAGAGCACGCTTGGCTTAAGTGCAGTTCAGGGCTGGGGTGCAAGCAGCCATCGGGGGCCATGGGCGAGAGCGTATCTGAAGTCCACCAGGATCGTGGCGCCGATGTCACGGTGCCTCTTCTCAGCCTTCTCCTTGAGACCAGAGAGGGTGGGGATGAAGCGGTCCTTCCACCGACTGCAGGGCTGCAGGCTGGGCTGGGAGGCAAAAGGGCGTGGAGACCAGAGCTTGGGACAGGGGTCAGCCCACATCTTCTCTGCCTCTATCAACAGATTTGAATGAGGTACTGAGATTAAGGTCCCTGGGCATCAGGTTCATGTGGGTTGAGGAAATGCTGGGCTTGTCTGCCCCAGCGGGTCCCGAGGAGCCAGACACATACGGCGTGTGAAAGGGTTTACTGTGAAATGCGCCTAGGATTAAGGGGATAGTATATCAGTAGTTTCTCATTTAAAAGACATCACATCTGTGTGCATTTTCTCTTGGGATCTAAACGCAGGTCGATGAACTTCTGCATATGTATGGTTCCGCAGTGGATGGCGTTTCCCGAGACAACGTGTGGGAGACCCAGGCGTACGTTCACTTCCAGGACAATCAGGGAGTTACTGTGATGATCAGGCCGGAACACAGGGTAGAAGATGTCTTGACTTTGGCATGCAAGGTAATCGAGTTTGCTGCCTGAATGTTGCTTTCCTGTGCCTTCTAAATCTATGTGGTGTTTAAGACCTCACTTTCTACACCAGGGAACATTATTAATTAACATACCTATTAATTAGCATTCTCCTTCTTCATCTTGTAGAAGTAGGAGTTGTTAGGGCATGACCCCTTGCCTTCATAGAGAACCTGAGCTATTTTGCTGGAATTCTGCATCTTTCTATCTGGAATAAATATGAAGGCAGTTGTTATTTAAGTTACTTAGGGGCGGCGCCTGGAAGAAAGTGGCATAAACAATGAAGTAAGTTTGATTTAATTCTAAGTACTTCTACCAAGTTCCTCTACATTAAAGAAGCCACTTGATACCATCCACAGTGGTTTCAGGGAAGACTGTCGTGAGACGTTCTCTTTATTATTCAAGTTGGGTTTTATTTCTGAAAAGGTTGCTTATGATAAGTCTTAAAGAGAGCCCGCTGAAATGGATGAACAGACTCAGGAGCATCAGAGCAGATGTTGTAGACCACCAGATGGTGCAGGAGAGCTGAAATAGTTTTAAGTTTTCAGAGAAAAGTGCAGTCAATTATGTGAGATGGTAAAGAAAAAAGGCGTGTAGAGTTTGGTAACTCTTCACCATGTACACTTAGGAGAGGTGGATAACCCTTCATTTTAGTTCTCCTTTGTCACTTTGAGTTAAGCCTTAGTATATCAGACAGTTATATGTGTAGCTCATATTATTCATTTAATTTCCTTTTACTCCATTATGTAAGGTTTTTATTCAGGCAGCCAACAAAGTCGTTTTATAGCAATGACATCAGTTTTTAACTTGGTCAAGTTTCTAAGTCATAGGGGATGTCAAAAGTAGTGGGTTGACTAGACCCAGGTAGAACCTAGACCTGAGATAACTTCTCATTGTTGAAAGTGAGAGAGAGAGAGAGAGAGAGAGAGAATGCAAGTGTATGAGTGTGTACATTTTTCTTTTGAAGACTTTTTAGAGTAGGAAATTCCTAAATCTGAAGTCTGTGGCATATGAGTTTGTTCACATTTCATAAATTTCTGTACTTCAGTGTGGGAAACAGAGTTGGAGACAACTAATATGTGAAGAGAGAGTGTTTGCTGAGACTAGTGTGGTACAGGGGTCGACAAAGTAGGTTGACAGTTGTAATAGAAATAGATGATAGAATAATAAAATGAGAATAAACATCGTGTTTCAAGTACTCACACCCGTGAACCTGCTTTTACTCGCCTCACTCACTCTGTTATCTACTGTATGTTCCCAAAACCTCCTTAGAAGGTCTTGTGCTTCCAGTGACAAGCAGTTATCATTTAGAGAAGATCTGCTTGAAAATAATGATTTTCTTGCCCATTTAAATTCAATCTTTTCTATATAGGTTTCAACTCAGCAACTTACATATGGCCTTTTTTTATTTTTTTTTTTTTTACAAATTTCCACTGTGATTTTTAACAAACAGTGATGAATTTAGAAAGAATATTTATAAAGTGTGAATAATTATATTTCTCCTGATAGATGAGGCAGTTGGAACCCAGCCACCATGGCCTGCAACTCCGAAAACTGGTAGATGAAAACATCGAGTACTGTATTCCCGCACCCCACGAATCCATGCAAGACCAGGTGCGTGGGTCAGCCCCAGGGGGGGAGAGAAGTCTGATCCATTCTTGGTGGCCTCTTCATTTTGACACTAAGTGCTTTTGGGGGAAAGTTCGGCTGAAATTTGGCATCTAGTTTGGAAACAATCCAAGTAAATTTCCAAGACATCATGACATCAAATCCCTGACTTGGCTGTTTTTACCTTCGGCAGGTTTATGATGAAATCGAAGTCTTTCCCCTCAGTGTCTATGACGTGCGGCTCACGAAGACGGGGGGTGTGTCTGACTTCGGTGAGCATGGGCACAGCCTTCTCCTTTTTTCCCCTAATTTTTCTCTTTAAATGTACATTTTCAGAAATCCTGACAGTAGTTTCTGAACTTCATCTTTCTTCAATTTTTATTTATTTCGAGTAGCGGGCTAAAAAGGTGTATTAATATTAGGGAAGGATGCCAAAATGATGAAGGGGAATAAGTATAAGTCGATGAGACATTTGAAATGATGACGATAACACTTACAGTGGGTTTACTGTGTGCCGGGTCTGTTCTAAGCTGACTAACTGCCTCATGATGCGTGTGAGTCACGGTGCTTGTCATCTCCACGTCTTCGCTGCCTTTGCTCTTAGCTAACCTTCTCCCCACTGGGGAGCCTCCGTTCACGGCTCCTGGCTGCCATCTCCTCCCTCCTCCCTGACGTGTCGATCAGATCTGCCCTTCAAGAACTAACTGAAGGTCTAACTTGCTTGAAGAAGCCTACATGGTTGCTTGATATTTAATGCTTGCGTTTCTGTTTATCTGTATTTAAACTTGTCTTTGAGCTCCTTATTGACTGTGTTCATGTGTTAAAATTCAGTTCTGTCTTTCATTCTTTTACCATACAAACTCAATAAGTAGATAATCGTCAATGAATATCTCCATAGAAAGACTATTTCTTGTCTTGTTAAAAATATTATTAATATACCAGTAATTATTTTTCTTAAAATGATTCCAGCTGATCAAATTCTACTCTTGTTTATAATCTTCAAGTGTCCTGTTTATGATCTGTTCTTCGTTTCTTAATTTCCATAATCCTTTTGACCCAAATGTTAGGTCGCTTTTTGCTTAAAGCCTTCTTTGCATTTTGTCTGTCCTTGTGTTGGCCCTCACTCAGCTTCCCATGGTCACCCTTGTGAATCTCCTCTGCACTTGAGTGACGGGCTGAATGAAGACAGTTGCACAGATGCTTTCTGGTGACCCCTGTCCGCTAGGCTTTGCCCGAGGCCCAGAGCAAACTGAGGTGCACGGCCTTCCTGTCATCGAAGGGCTCCCAGTGTTACGAGACCAGGACATAGAAACTCCACGACTCCACGACTGCGGAGTCGGGGGGAGGGCGGTGTCCGAGTCTGGGAAGTGTGTTCACCGAGGCTCTGCGTGTGGTCACTTTTACGGCCAGCACTCTTTCCGTCCAAGTGTTTTTCCACCTTCTGAAAATTCCTAGGCCCGTATGGGGTTGTTTCTTGACACATATTTTATTGAACTGAATTTGATTGATTTCAGTAAATTTTTTGGTCTTCAATTAAAAAAAATAAATTGTGGTGAAATGCACAGGGCAAAGTTCATCGTCGTTGAATGGTTAAAAATGACAGTCAGTGGCATTAAGCACGGTCACACTGTTGTGCCACTGTCGCCACCATCTGTCTTCAGGACTGTGTTCATCTCACAAAACTGGAACTTGGCACCTGTTAGAGAGTGACTCCCATTCTTCCTGCCCCTGGCTCCTGGCAGCCCCCATTCTACCCTCTGTCTCCATGAATTTGATTACTCTCGTTACCTCATATAGTATCTGATCTTTTGTGCCTGGCTTATTGTCACAGAGCAGTGTCCTTAAGGTTTTTTCATGTTATATCATGTATCAGAATGTCCTCCTTTTTCATGACTGAATAATATTCCAGTCTATGGCTATACCGCAGTGTTTATCCATTCCTCTGTGGATGGACAGCCGGGTGGCTTTGGCCTGTTGCCTGTTGTGAGTAAGGCTGCTGTGAACATGAGTCTGTGGCCTCCACTTTCCAGTAAGTTTGTGTGTTCATGTTTCCTAAACCTTTAGATCTGACGTGTTTCTCTTTTTCTGACCCTGCTGGGTATTTATGCTTTCAAAATAGTTGTAACTTAGGCTTTGTCAACATACTGTACTTATAATAATAGATGTCTGAGAAAATACTGCCGGTCACGTTGGGGAATTTAGCCAGTGTGACGAGTTTAGACTTGTGTCTCCCTTTTATTTTTATCCCCAGGGTTCGCAGTGACAGCGCAGGTGGGTGAGCACCAGCGTCTCAGCCGGATATTCATCAGCGACGTCCTCCCTGATGGCTTGGCCTATGGGGAAGGTCCGTGTGGTGCGGAATATCTCTGCCCCTTTTGAGTTAGAAAACTGTAGAATGCAGTCTGGATAGTGAAATATTCCTCTTACAGTTTTGTCAGAAAATGGTTTCCCTAGGAATTTTAAAGAGAGTAAATAGTTTAATTTAATGTGTGTGTGTGTGTGTGTGTGTGTGTGTGTGAGAGAGAGAGAGAGAGAGAGAGAACGCACATACACAGAGAGAACATACATGCATATTTTCCAGACAGCCAGGCAGACAGCACGGTTTTCATCTTGCAAACAGGTGTAGTTTCCCAGGGCACTTAACATCAGATAAACAGAACAATTAGTTTGAATCACTCTCAAAGTGTTTCGTTTTCAAACTGTTCCTTCTAATCCTAGCCTTGAGAGAGCAGAAATGTGTTTCGTTATCATTGGCATCTAAGTACATTTTGATACTTTCTTTGACGATAGCAACTGAACAGCCCTCAGAGTACATGGTTTGCATTTGAAGCTTTCTTTCATCTTGAAACCTTCCCCTCAATAAAATCTGTCTCTTCTTTCTCCCTCTGTTCCTCCTCCTGGTTCTAGGGCTGAGAAAGGGCAATGAGATCATGACCTTAAATGGGGAAGCTGTGTCTGATCTTGACCTTAAGCAGATGGAGGCCCTGTTTTCTGAGAAGAGTGTTGGGCTTACTCTGATTGCCCGGCCACCAGACACAAAGGGAACCCTGTGTACTTCTTGGTCGGACAGCGACCTGTTCCAAAGGGACCAGAAGGGCCTGCTGCCTCCTCCTAACCAGTCCCAGCTTCTAGAGGAATTCCTGGATAACTTTAAAAAGAACACGGCAAATGGTAAGCTTTGTTTTTTTTTTTTTTCTTCTTAACCACTGGTAACCGCAACTAAAATTTTTAGGCTGTTGTTTTGCTGACAAACTTAGATGATTTAAACTGTTTAGAAGATATTTTCTCATTTATTAGGAAAAGAACACAAATGCCAACCAAGTAAATTTGGTCAAAACTTCATGCATTTTAGAAATCATAGCACTTTCATGGAAATAGAAAATAATTAATTTCATCCAAAGTAACATTCTTTAAAATCGCAGAATCTTTTTACACCAGTCACCCATGATATTTAGTATTGTAATTGCTTTGTGATTGAAGGTAGATGAAAGCCAACATAAATGCCAAGGTTGATTTTCTATTGGGTTGAATCAAAGGCAAACGCATTTTGCAGTAATCTTAAAATAGTCAATGCAATTCAGTTCTTTACCTCTTTTGTTAAGTGCTACTTTCTTAGTAAACTGCAAACTTTCAATGCAGGTCATGAATTTTAAACTTTGGGATAGGCTTTAAAATGAAAATGTGTTTGCCAGTTTATTTTTCTAAAGGTAAAATTTCCACATGAGGCCATCCTTTGAAGGTTTAAATTTCTGAGCTTATCATGCACGCCTATTTCAAATGTCATAGTCAAGTAAATTAGGGGTTTCAGCTAATACCGAAAACCTGCAGTTTCCCTCCGTGCTCCTGCAGGAAGCCGGTCAGGCCCCCACAGGAGACTGAGCACAGGGTCTTTACCCAGCAAGCGCAATGTAATTTTTGCACCTAATTACAATCATAGCGGATTTCCAATTCAAATCTCTGCATGATTACCAAGAGTGGCTGAAAAACACAAAAGAGAAGTTGTTAGGATAGATTTAATTATAAAGCAAGTTTGTTAGGTCATTTTTGGAAGTAAAAAATACAGATTGTAAGATTCATGACTCAGTAAGGTATGTAGTGCTTTCTTCTTTTCTCTCAAGGCCTCATTCCAATTTCCAATACCAGTAAATCGACTGATTGGTGTAGAAAAGTGGGTGTCATAAAACAAAGATGATGATGGAGCTAATTAATGGCTTGGTTCTATGAGGGCCATCGTTCAGCTTCCCAGGGCGGTGTTGCAGGCCAAGTGTTCCCCACACTGCACACGCATGTCCCCTGTCTGGACTCATTGTTCTTCAGGGATATATTCCCTGCCTGTTATGTCTCTCTGTGTTTTATCATCATAAGAAATCACCGCAGTCACAACACTTTTGGTACTTACAGGAATGAGTTTCTGTAGAAAGTGGCAAAAGGAGTACATTTACCCTTTTAGTTAAATAGTAAGCATCAAGCAGGTCGGTTAAGCTTGTTTACCACCTTTTGTTTTAAAGATTTTATTTATTTTACTTTTAGAGAGGGGAGGGCAGGGAGAAAGAGAAGGAGAGAAACATCAGTGTGTGGTTGCCTCTCATGCGCCCCCTATTGGGGACCTGGCCTGCAACCCAAGCATGTGCCTTGACTGGGAATCAAACCAGCCACCCTTTGTTTCACAGGCCAGTGTTCAGTCCACTGAGCCACACCAGCCAGGGCCTTTTTTAAAAAAAGTAAGCAGAATAAAGCAGAAGTCCGGATATGTTAGCTAGCTCTGGCGTGGCTCATCCTAGGGAGCTGTACTGATGTCTCAGCCTTCGTGACTTACCTGAGGATGAGGAGTGCCATATCTGTGTGTGCACAGGGCTTTGCCAGTCGGATAGGCAGTGCTTTTCCACAGGTGCTCTTCATTCAGGTCCCTGTGCAGCTGCGGTGCCCACATCTGCGTGTCCCTTTCTTCCCCGGACGGTGCTTCCCTACCAGCCAGGCCAGAGCCACTCCGGGGTTCCTGTCCAGACTGCATGCCGTGGGCCCGCTGCCACCTCTGCCTGGCTTGGACTGGCCCCTGTCCTGTTCTGTAGAAATGTGCTCGGGCTGGAAACCAGCCAGCCATGGTGGACTGCTTTCCCAAATGCTCTGCACGTGCAGAATTGGTTTGTTTTCTTTTGGAAGTCGTTGCACAGCTTATGAAGGAAGTAAAAGCCTGTGAGTGAGCGTCTCAGAAGGCTGTCTGTCCATTTTTAAGGTTCAGGAGAAAGGAAATCAGGAGTGGGTAGGTGAGAAAATGAAAGATGAAGAGAAAAGTAAGAGTGAGTCTCTCACTTGTGCATAATATCATGGTTACATGAGAGGCTTGTCTTTGTCAACACCGAGGAGGGGAGTGATGGGGTGACGAGCAGGCAGGCTTTCGGTCAGGCCTGGGTTCAAGTCTTGGCCTGCCCTTTCCAGGTTGTGCAATTGGGGGGACAGCCCTCCACTAGGGAGGGACGGGCACGGGTGAATGCCACCCCATGTCCTACCCCCGGTTGGACACTTCTTCAGGTGGCCCCTGGAAGCGAGCCTGTTTGCACATGACAACTTCACTTTCACACCTTTTATGAAGACTTCTGCCCTTTAGGGCTCACCTTTCTTACTCCCTCGCTTGGGCTTCTCAGGGTCCCCTTCCAAATAAACTTCTGTACCTGCCTCCTGGGCTCAGACTCTGCTTCTGGGGAGCCCAGATGAAGACACTGAGCCCTGGGTCCTCACCCAAAAGAGGGGGCTCCCACCCCTGCCCCAGAGGGTCGCCCAGAGGCTCAGGGGGTGGCGTCTACGAGTGCCCAGCCCAGCTCCTTCCTTACATGGCAAAAAGTCTGCAAATCTGATTCTCCTCTTCCCTCAGCTGGGCAGTGGAATGTTTCATTAAAAATGACTTGGGTTTGCTTTAGCAATGAATTAGAAAGCAGCAATCTCATGATCTTATTAAACAATAAAAATTGTACAAATAAAAAGATAATTTGAATGACTTTAAACAGTTTTTCATACAACTTTGAATTATGCTTAGGAGTGGTCATTTCTGAGTCTGCTTTCCCTAAATGTCGGGTTCCTGGCCATGCACTCCCAGAAGGCAACCTGGCATAGCCATCCCTCCGTATCCACGGGGACTCGTTTCCAGGACCCCTGCAGATGCCAAAATCTGAGGATGCTCCAGTCCCTCCAATAAAATGGTGTGGTATTTGCAAATAACCTACACACATCCCCCCATATACTTTAAATCATCTCTCTATTATTTATAATAGCTAATAAAATATAAATAGTTATACTGTATTGTTTAGGGAAAAATGATAAGAAAAAAAAGTCTGTCTATGTTCAGAACAGATGCAACCACGTCTGCAAGAACATGGCTTTTCCCCCTCATGTGTTCAGCCCAGGGCTGGTCGAATCTGCAGGTGCAGAACCCACACTTACAGGCGGGCAACTGCACTTGAAAAGAAGGAAGACTTTTCCCATTTTGTTTTCCCAAGAAGCCAGTCTTCTGCCTGTTAATAGAAACCAAACAGCTGGCGCTCTGACAGGAAAGCCCTGGTTTTTATATAGAAACTGTAAGAATATCAGCAGAGGAAGAAGAAGCCGTTGTTTCAAGTGTGTCTGTCTCTTGACTATCCAAGCTGAATATTTACTGAGGCCCTGGGAATAAGCCACATGGAGTTCAAGGCTCTTGATCTACTTTTGGTTTTGGTCAGGTATCCAGAAATTTGTATTTGTTACCTTTACTCTCTTAATCAGGTGTGATTAAGGGAGTAAAGAGAATAAAATAGCTCTCTTGTTACTTATATGTCTGACTGAAAGACGTGTTGGCCAGCGGGGCTGGTCTCAAGGGGCCAGGGGGATGATTGTGAGCTGTGTTCAGGTTCTGTGCTTTTTCTAGAAAGGAAGCATCCTACTGACATCGGGGAAGTGGTTCTCACACTTCACAGCGCGCATACAGCTCACCTGATGAGCCTGTGAAAATGCAGATTCCTGGGTCCTGCTAGAGTGCCACCTTCAGGAGGGCTGGGGTAATGCAAGCTCCAGTTCAACAGCGCATTCCTACTGCCTGTGGCCATTAGTCTGAAGCGGGTGGGGTGAGTCTGAACTTGAGCATAGGACTACTATTTTCTGAATCCTTCTGCGTCAAGGTTTTGAGGATTAAATGACAGTATGGGTCAAGTTCTCAGTAAATCTTAGCTATTGTGTGTGTATGTTGCCATTTTCTGAATTAGGGTTTCTATGCCCCCAACGTCCACCCCTGGCGCAGCCAGTCTCGACTTGCTCGCCTGGTTTGTTCCTCCGGAGACACTGTCTCTTGGGCGTATTGAATGCACGGAGGAACAAAGAACTTGCAGCAGTCCCAGCTTTGCTGTCATGCTTCCATGAGACTCTGTGTAGAGCAGGACAAAAAACCGTGGAGGCTGGATGAGTGAACCTCAATATTAGGTTCCTTTGCTCCTCTAGAAATGAATGACCCTTGGATTCCCGAGTCTAAGGGTTCGAGTTTCTGCCTTCGTGATTCCCCCGCAGAAAGAGAGGAACTGTCCACAGGCGGGACAGTTTCTGTTTGACTTGAGCGGAAATATCGTCTGTGAAGACTCTTTGGAGAGAGAATTAATTTTACCCCTGGAATCCCCTAAAGAGCGCGGTGTTATTTTTAAGCCAACAAGGCGACCATTGAAGGGATTGGACACGCCAGCCCTGTTTATACTGGATTCCCATTAATGCTGTTTTTGTGATTTAAGTAGGAAAATCCCTTTTCTACTGCGTGCCATCTTTTGAAAAAGTCCAACAGCTTTTAAGGGAGTTTCATTGGGCATGGACCTCCTGAACAAAGTCTGCGAACCCTGGATGTGCTGTGTGGCATGCATGCATTTCCCATGTACAAAGGGCCTTCATATCACCATTGTTAAAAGTGGGGATTTATTTACCAGGAGACAAAACAGAAAAGGCCTCTCTCTGTTCCTTCTCCCATTTAGACACCATCAACCCAGCAAACACTTACCGATGATGAAGGTAATTGCAGCCTGGGGTTCTTTTTTTAATTTCTCACCCCACTTTGAATCACTTCCTTTCTAAATTGATGTATGAGTCGTGTGGAAGCTACCAGAAGCTACTGAGATGCAAATTTGCTCTTTGGAAGAAATTGCTCCGGGAATGTATGTGTGTGTTTG